ACATGTATTGTGTGTTCATTTTGACCTTGTAGGGAGAGGGCTAAAATAGGCTTTGCCTGCTGCCCAATCCCATTCACTTATGTGAATAAAATTTTGTATAAATAAAAAAAAATGGCAAAGTACATATTTTCGGAAGGAAATTGAAAGTGGGGGGGGGGGGGGGGGGGGGGGCTAAGTGCAAAGATTTTTTTATACATTCAAAAAATCTGACAAGCTTAAAAAAGGGGGAAAATGTCCTTTTCCTAAACACAAATATCCTAATTCGTGTGGGGGAAAGGGGGTTGGGTAGGTTTGAACTTCAGTAACAAAATTTTTCTCCAAACACCAACACTTTCCTCTTTTTTAACTTATACAGCGACTTGTCTGTAAAAAGCTGGGGGGGGGGGTAAACCTACGCAGCAATATTCAATGTCTATACTAAATATATATTGGTAAAAAAAAGAAAAAAAGCCCCCACCGGTTCCGACACATAAATGCTGAACCTGGACAACAAACAAGAGAATTATCAAAAAGCTATAGGTAGAATGTGGAATTCTCACGGGGGGTTCCCTCTCTCTTTTTATCTGCTTTTTCTAGTAATCATTAATTATTTATGTCTAGAAATTTAATTCACATTTAATTCTATTTTCATTATCATTGTACCACAGAATCAAACTCGTTTAGTATACCCCTTGCAACAAGTTGCGTGAGGTATAATGTTTTGGACCCATCAGTCAGCCCATTTTTTTTTTGTCAGCGCAACTTCTTATAAACTAATGCACAGAGTTTTGTTGAACTATGCTGATATTCAGAGGAGTCAATGTGTCTGTATTTGTATATCACAAGGAAATTCTGAAATCTTTATTTTTTCGGGAATGTCCGCACTTTTACATTTAGATTTTGGCCATATCTTGAATATAAAAAATGAGCAGTTTGTCAGCACAATTCCTCATAAACCGGTGCATACAATTTCGTCAAACTTAGCAGATAATTAGGACACAATGTGTATAGATGTGCATTTTACAAGAAAATTACGATTCCTTTATTTTTTCTGTGAATTTCAGCACTTCGACTTATGTGGGAGCGTGGGGTATGTGAATTTGCTCACTTTTTCTTTCATTGAGCATACAATTATAAATAACTTTAAATGAAATTATATTAGGTCTAATAAAGCCAATATACAGTATTTATTTGATCATAAAGAAATCCGATCTGTTTCAGACGTTTTTCTTTAAAAAAATTTTATGAGAGTGTTATGCATGTTTTATTACCTCCCCCCCCCCCTTTCACAGGAAAATGTCTTCATATCTTCAAAAGGTGAATGATTCGTAATAATGCATACTTTAATATAAATTTGATGAAGTTAAACCATGTTTTCAAAAATTTTATTTACACCATTTACAGACAAGAGTAATGTTTATTCTTGAAAAAAAAAATTATTTGCATTTTCTTCAGTCAACCCCACGGCGCTTTCAACCTTTGATATTTTCCCTGACCAAATAAATTGATCGGCATGGGCCACGTGTGTCCAAGCAGTTTTTTACTGTTGAGTTAGCAATGGATTACATGATTTATGAGATGCATTTTTCAATAAAAGTAAAATAGGATAATTCTTTCGACATGTGCACATCCCTGTAACGATAGCAGTATTCAGGTAAATATTTCTATCACTGCGTTTGACGCGTTTTCTCGACTGACTTGCATGGAATTTTTGCTCTACTTGAATATTTTCCGTGTAAGTGTATTTTCTATATTGCAGCAAATGCATTCAAAAATAATTTAATTCTCGGTATAGTTCTAGTTTTTCATGAATTTTTACTTTTCAAACATGTACTGTATATTGGTCAGTTTATGGACTTTTTAAAACTTTGCTATCGGAGATGTGCACATGTCGACAGCCAGGATAGAAAATCACTGAAGTGAAACAGTTCTAAAAGGCTATATATAGCAGGTACAGGTGGCCAAAAATGTTCGATTTAATATGGCGGAATCGAGGAAATATGGCGGACAAAGGCGTACAGGAATGTAGTAAGTTGTACAAAGATGAAAACTGATGCCTTTTTAAGAGTTCATGTCAGCTTTAAGTTGATATTTGAGCACGCAATATTTATCTGGCAATTTTGTAACAATTACCAATAATTCTTATCAAGTTTAGAATTCGGAGATTAGGAAAGCCACAACATTCTGATTATCAGTTTTGTAATTTCGAAGAGTCTTTGAACATTGCACTGGTTTGTTGTAGTTTTGAGGATAGAATCGTTCTGTAGGAATTGCTTGCAAACACTTGACTATAGTTCCTAACCAATAGTTTCTGTGTACTTTTTAGCATCAATATTACCATTGATAAATGTTAGAGTAACTAGTCCACTCCAGCAGATAGGCCACGACCGGAACATATGCATCTTGACATACCCTCGCCTCCATATCTCTAAAATACACAGACGCGATTATTTTCTCCATTTACTCCAATGATCTTTTCTTTAATAAACAGCATAAAATTAACACAATTTCAACGACTTTTAACTTTCCAATGCCGTTTCCTTTCCACTAGTATTTTTAAGTTTACAGCTTTGATACGTGTTTTTTTTCTAGCAACATATCTGTGTTATTTAATTCGAAATAAGGTCTTTTACAAAGATACTTTTGAAACAAAGTTTTCATGAAAATGGTCTGAAATGTCACAATTTTAAGAGTTTTGGCATTATGCGTTCTGTCTATATACTTTGAATTTGATCTTATATTTTTCAAAATCTTGATAACGCGCAGGTATGTGAAGAAAGCATATTAGTCATTTCTCGGAAATTTTAGACTTTTTAAAGAAAATTAAGTTTGATAATTTACCAAATACTCTGATAAATGTAAACTGTTATTAACTATTGCAGACAGATTGAAGAGTGTCTACAGCAAAGACATGCATCACAGCCACAGGATCACGTGACTTCTATAAATAGTGAAATTTCCCTTAATAAAAAAGCTAACGGAACAACACTACCTCGGAGTTTAATAATTTCTTTGAGTAAATAATATAGTTGAAAAACATCTATTTTTCCTAAAATGTGCTGCTAGGATCTCACAGTCCTGTCACTGAAATAATCATTTCTCACATTTGCATGAAACCCTACCCAATGTTTTGAATTTTATGCATATGACCGAGATTTTTTGTAAAACCATGCTCAACTCGGGATTCTAGCAGCACTTTCCAGGTTTATCATAAGGCAAACTTTCCATCTATATCTTATCTTTTGAAATTTCCAGCTTATTGTTCTGTTGCATTATTTTTGTCACGAACGACGGAGGAAAGGCCGACCGGTATACATATACAGCCGACTGTCTTTGAAAGAGTATGTTTACATGTTTCTATTCATTTTCTATAGTTAAATTACATCTATATAAATACTAATATAACGAAAAGTTTTGTTATACGATTGAATCATCTCCCCTACTATGACGTCATAATGTAGCACTGATTTAGTCAAGGTAGAATATTTTGTATGCTTCCTTATCACCCCTGCGCGTTCATCTTTCCTATTATCTGTTTTCCTTTCCCATTCTGTGTTTCATAAATCAAATGACGTATTTTATTGCGTCGAAATCATAATGATATCTAACTCAAACACAAGCCGATATTTAATACATTTTTCTTCATTGTTTTATTACATGTATTATTATTTAAGTGCAAAGCGATAGAAGTAATACGTGTTAATTCGTGCTATCTGGACGAATAATTAATAGCTTTGTCAACAACATGCGTTTATTCAATACACATACAACATAATAATTCATACATCGAACCCGACCCGAATTCCGAACCCGTTCCAAATATAGTATATAGGATTTCATCAACATCCCCTTTTCTTTAGAAAATTTGTCAAAATTTCTTTCAAAACATCAAATTTCATAAACAAGTAAACTTTCATCATTTTACACACATAAAATGAATAATGCACTCATCTAGCACAAAATGTCACTGAAATGTTCAGTATCCGACCTATAGACACAAAATGATCAATTGCAATTTACATGTACACAATGACTAGAAAATCAAACGACTAAATGACTAAATATCTTAATACAAAGTCCATTAACCAGTAATATAGTCTTTCAGATAAGCTGGTTTTCTCCTTTCGCGCACAGGTCTTCCTTCACGGATCAGTTCACTTGGCGTTGGTACGGTAAGTTCAACGAACGGTGTTTCTGGTGCGCTTACGCTAACGGTAGAGGTCGGATTGTTCACTGGCTTAGAGTCTGTTACAATGTTTCTCTGTATGCCGCCTGAATTATCATCTGGGACTGAACGCATCGGTGAGCGGTCACGACTGTAGAAATTGACTGCGGTAGGTCGCACATGAATTCTGTTTCTACGATAAGTGGTTCCATTCTGGTCCTTGACGATGTATGTCCTTGGTCCAAGAATGCCATTAATTTCCCCGAGTCTCCAGTTGCGTCCCTCTAGATGCTGGAAGAATACTGCTTGACCAACGTCCAATTCACTCTGCTCGCGAGACATCCTGTCAAACGATTTCTTTACTGTCTGTCTGCATTGATTCCTCTTCTTGATGAATGCATCAGTATCTGGTTTCTCGAGTTTCTGTGGAAAATATGGAATCATGCCACGCACTTTCCTGTTAAACATAATTTCTGCAGGACTCATACCAGTATCCTGTTTTGGTGTATTTCTTTGCTTGAGAATTGCTTGGTACGGTAAGTTCAACGGACGGTGTTTCTGGTGCGCTTACGCTAACGGTAGAGGTCGGATTGTTCACTGGCTTAGAGTCTGTTACAATGTTTCTTTGTATGCCGCCTGAATTATCATCTGGGACTGAACGCATCGGTGAGCGGTCACGACTGTAGAAATTGACTGCGGTAGGTCGCACATGAATTCTGTTTCTACGATAAGTGGTTCCATTCTGGTCCTTGACGATGTATGTCCTTGGTCCAAGAATGCCATTAATTTCCCCGAGTCTCCAGTTGCGTCCCTCTAGATGCTGGAAGAATACTGCTTGACCAACGTCCAATTCACTCTACTCGCGAGACATCCTGTCAAACGATTTCTTTACTGTCTGTCTGCGTTGATTCCTCTTCTTGATGAATGCATCAGTTTCTGGTTTCTCGAGTTTCTGTGGAAAATGTGGAATCATGCCACGCACTTTCCTGTTAAACATAATTTCTGCAGGACTCATACCAGTATCCTGTTTTGGTGTATTTCTTTGCTTGAGAATTGCTTCATAAGGATCAGTCTTCTCAACTTCACATTTCCTTAACAATGTCTTCATGATTTTAACAGCTGACTCGGCCTTGCCATTGGCTTGTTGATGCATCGGCGATGATGTCATGTGAGTGATACCCCACTTCTTTGCAAAATCTTGGAATTCTTGGCTTACAAACTGTGGTCCTCCATCAGACATGATTACATTTGGAATTCCAAATCGAGCAAATTGTTTCTTGAGTAAAGCTATTACTCTGGAGCTTGTCAAAGATGTAAGCAAATCAATTTCGATGAAACTTGAGAAATAGTCAACTGCAATCAAATAATGCTTTCCATTCAGCTCAAACAGGTCAAGTCCTATTTTCTGCCATGGAGTAGATCCTTCTGCATGCTGCATCAATGGAATATTTTGGTTCTTTGGTTTACTTTCTTGACATATTGAACAACAATCGGCCAACTGCTTGATATCTGATTTCATTCCAGGCCAAAATATTGTTCCTCTTGCCCTCCCCAGCATGCTATCAGATCCAAAGTGAGCCTTGTGAAGTCTGGCCTTCATTTCATTTCTCAAAGATTTAGGGATAATCACAGCTTCCCCTTTGAGCATAAGTCCATCACTAAATGATATAGTGTCTCGGAAGTCAAAGTAATGGCGAATTCTCTGTGGCATTTCAAGTTTCTGCTCCGGTCATCCGTTCATCACGGCTTCCTTGAGAATTGCATTTCCTCGTCAATCTCTGTTGCTTCCTTTA